AGTACCAGCATCTATCATTCTATTTAGCATTTGTGTATGGTAGAAAGCTGCTTCATTTTGGAAAATGCTGCAACGGACGAAAATTAGTATTACAAATATCCATGCATAATCACCCAATAAAACTAAATGTTGCAAGTCCTAGATTTTGTTACCATTCATTTGACATGAACATGACTGCTTTGTTAATAGAGAATTTGAGAAATAGACGCAGTGTAGCCATGCTGTTTGCTGTCCCTCAGCTGACTAAAAGGTCTTTCCTAGCTACTGTTTACTAGTTTTATCCTTTCACTGTTTAATAATTTATAAACCTATCCCAAAGTCAATGTCTTAATTTTTGCCATAAATAAAGTACACATATTTACAATCTTTCTGTCTGTTCCTGTTATGTGGCCTTATAATCTTGATTATTTATGACATCTGTGACTTTAAATCAAAGTCAAAGCTACTGTATGTTTGACCAAAGTAAAACTACTTACACATCAATTGTTTGGAGGTGTAAACTGTAAAGTTATGATTATCATGTTTCCAGACACTGGCTATTACTGACACCCCATAATGTCTGTTTCGCTATTAAACCATAACCCTAGGTCAGTAAATAAAGCATTAGCTGCTGAATAAAGCTGATTCGTGCAAGGAGGTCTATACAACCTTGATTTGTGTAAAGAACCTCCTGGCTTTGTTTTCCATGACTACAAGGCCCACCCACTTTCACTAGTCACGTGAGCGCTCTAGTCCAATCAGCAGGAGTTATTTCCCGTCCCAAACAAACATCCAAGATGGCGGAAAGGAGATCAAGTTTTGGTAGCAGTGTTGACTAAACCGTTGACAATGTCAGAGTTAAGGGGGGAAATGGCTTAGTTGAGGGAGAAGTGGATCAAGCCGTAAGTAGACATGTTCCTGAGTTTATTTAAGCTCGCTAAATGGACGTAGAATAAGTGTCCTGTCAATGACAAATTTGTCACTTCGTAGGGAGGGGGGCAGTGGCATCCCTGGATAGGACGGGGCATATAAATTTTGGGCCGCGACCGGAGTGTGGTTTTTGGCTTGGTCGTTGCACATGGGTGTTTGTTCTAGTCCTTGGTTATAACTACCCAATGTTGTGCACTTTGTAACATTACGTTTGGAAGAATCTTAGTTAACTATATGAAGTAATATTGTGTGTAGTTTCCACATGATGAAAATGGTGATTATAAAATTTTCGAAAATGAATTTTCAGAGAAGAGGCTTTGTGCAAATGCTTTCTGTCTCCAAGACATCAATACTAACGTCTGTTTGCTCAAGTTATTTGAATTATGTAGCAAAAAGCAGTAGATCTAGACTGAACACAAATATGCTTATTATGGATCACAGTGCCCCGGGGAGCCTTTGTTCATTACTGGTGAAGATCTGCAGCTAGCAGACACCAATCCCCTGGGAACTGGTGTTTTAGAGGGTGACGTCAAAGCACACAGCATCGACCATGGACCTGAGCAGGTTCCGCACCCCCGGGCAGGCCGCGGCGACCAAGTCTGACGGGAAGAAAGATGTGCTCGCCGCACCTACGCAGGAGGAGATAGATGATGTGCTGAAGGAGATAGTAAGTTGTGCTGCAGGGCAACACTGGATCTTCTCAGAATGATATAAAATATTATGAGGATTCAATGTTATTTGGCAAGACTGCTTGTGTAATGACATAGGTATCTATTAAAGATTGTAATAAGATTAAAAGGCAGTGGCTATTGACTGGCTGTTCACTGTCAAAGTAAAAAAAAATATCAATGATGTCAAATATCTAGAGTGATCCTAACCAATGACCTACGGTATCTCTAACATTATGCAAAGCAAAAATAAGTACAGATATGTAATTATACATTTTCCTGGTATTGGCCTGCTGCTTTGATAAGAAGCATGACATGATAAAACATTGGACCAGACCACTGGATTGGGTTTGTATTGATTGCTTGGCTGTGTTGTCAGAACTGATCTATTATTCAGCTTTAGCAGCATATTTGGCACTTGCAATATTTAATACAACTCATTTAGAGCCTTGTTTTGCATACACTAATTCACTTTGATGATAAGTACTTTACATGTATATCCTAGCTGCTGGTAAAGTATCATAGCCAGCTGTATGGATTGAGATTATACATGTAGATAAACAATTACCAAATGGTCCTTTCTAATGCTATTTACAGCTGTCATGTTTTACACTGACCAAAACAGTCTCCAATCTGCAAGTACCTGTACCTTAACATTACATGTAAGACATTAAACTTAGGAATCAATTGCCTGACAAAACTAAGTGTATTTGGAAACTTGGAGTAAATGATGCTTGATAATATTACTCAGTATGTACATGGCAGTTATTATGTTCCTATCACTTCTACAGTGCATCTCCAACGGGCTGAATTTCCAGAAGCTGGACAACCAGGTCACCAGTACCACCCAGCTGGAGATGTTCTTCTCAGGCATGCCTCGCATGTTGGGGCTGGACAAATTTGTCAATCTGACCTGCCTGAGAATCAATGGGCAAAACATCAGGAAAATTGAGGGGCTACAGCATCTGGCACAGCTGAAGGAACTGTGGGTGTCAGAGTGTAAACTTAAGGTACAGGAAAACTTACAAGTTACAACTACATGTGTACATAACATACATGACTGTGTATCTAGTGTTAACTGTCATTCAGTTTTGGTGGGCTTCGTTTGTGCCAGGATTACTCAGCTTTACATCATTTCAGAAATATTTGGTTCTGGAAATTTATGAAGAAGAGTTCAGATCCAAGTGGTCATGGATTGAAAGAGACCACTCATGTATTTACCCATGTGCTGATGTTGTATTAGATTCCTATTGCGAGAATGGATATATTCTTACCATAACGATACATGAATTATCTAACATTTGAGACATGATGTTTGGTGATTTCAGGAAACCAGTGGTATGGAGGCCAACCCCAGTCTGCAGAAGTTGTTTCTGTACTCCAATGAGATCACCAAGATAGAAAACCTGGGGAATCTCAAGAGGCTGGAAGTTCTGTGGCTCTCTGATAACAAGATACCAATGATAGAGGTACACATAACGAAATTGTGATAGTTTGGCCTACTTTTAGACTGTGAAATCAAGTGTATCAATTGTATTGATAGGAATAGCCTGCATATCTGGGTCAAAATCTAGCCATCCTAAATATTACTTATTGAAGGTTGTAATATAAATTGAAATTGATATGCTAAAACATTGGCACAAATAATTTTTGTATTGTCAAATGTTTTGTCTTATACATTGTTTTACTTGTAGGGACTGCAGGGACTGAGCAGGTTGAGAGAGCTCAATCTGGCTAACAATCTCATTGAAAAGATTGGTGAGTATTTCTGTTTTTTTGTGTAACATTATCAGGCACAGCGATTGATTTCAAAGTGCATGGGTGGAGACTTAATCTTGCAGTTGGAGGGGAAAGAAAAGTTTACGGTGCTTCAAGTTTGTTGTTGAAACAACCATAACTACTTGATGCAAGACAGAGCACATGTTCATGGTTTAAAACCACCATAAGTATTTCTCCATTCTACATGAGATAAAGATGAAAATGTATTTCACTACTACATGTATATGAGATGAGAATGTTAATATATTTCTTCTATTTTCACATTGCCTCTGCCACAGGTCACTCCTTGGATTGTGCTGTAAATTTGGAGTCTCTGAACCTCTCTGGCAATAGGATTGCTTCCTTCAAGGTGGGAAACCATTCTGAGTTTTCTGAAGAATGTATTTCATCAGTCCAATTTACACTATAGACTTATGACTGAGCTGAGATTAGAACTATATCATGATATCATGAAAGAACTGTGAGACTTGATGGGTATATATATTTTTACAACAGTTCTATCTGGCAGTAATAGTGTCATTAGAAGCATGTGTTTTTACCTATCATGATGTGTGTTGTATGTTATGTCTTCCCCAGGACCTGACCAACCTGATCCGTCTCCAGTTCCTCCAATCCCTGGGTCTGAAGGACCCTCAGTACCTCCCCAACCCTGTGTGCTTACTGTGTAACTACTCCACACACATCCTGTACCATCTACCCAACATCACCAGGCTGGACGCTTTCGATGTCTCCAGCAAGGCTCTCAAGGATTTAGCAGAGGTTTGTACAGCAAATTTTGTGATCGTTTCATACTTGTAAGTGAATTGTTTTTGGTGTCTATGATAATCTGTTTCACTCTTAATCACAATACTATATCTTAATACTGCTAAATATTACAACATATTAGTTTAAAACTAACTGCTGTCAAATGGAATATTAAAATGTATTTGTCTACACAACACTTCAGACTACAGTTGTGAAGAAGAAGATGTATTACAACATGCGTGTCAAGACCATCCAGCGCAACATGATGGACATGCTCAACAGGCTTCAGCAGCAGAAACACAGCCTCCTACAGTTCCCACATGAAAGGATGAGGGCGCTTCAGTTCTGCATCAAATCTGTAAGTTGACAGAAAGTATTGAAATAGTAATGAATCAGATGTAGTCATCAATGATATCCTTTCGAAATGCGTTTCAATTGTGTATATCTTACAAATCATCTGTCCTCTCCCAAGACAACTGGTTTAGTCTGCTTGATTACCTGGCCATTGTGGCTACTTTGTGGTCCCTGAGAATATTTCCTCCACTTACCTGATGGTGACCTAAGCATTAAGAGCCCCATCTATAGTGACCACTTATTCTGTTCAAGCCCCATGAGTAGTCGCTTTAGACAGGTTTGACTATGCATATGCTTTGTGTTTGTTATTTACTATACATCTTATGTGTATTACTAGGTGGAAAGAGATTTGGAGGAGATAGCCCTGGGTGCTCCATCCCCGAAGGAGGAGGTTGAGAAGGAAAAAGTGAAAGACGAGGGAGAGGATGGACAGGAGAGTGGTACAGAGAGTGACCAGGAGGGGGAGAAGGAGAAGAGGGTGGACATGTTGAAGGCCAAGATGGGGGCTGTCAGACAGCGGCTCCTGACCTGGGAGAAGAGACTGAAGGAGTGAGTACTGAGTACTAGTCTGTGGACAGTTTTCTTTGGATAGAAAAGGGCATGGAGATGGTAACACAAATTGGTTGTTCTCAGTGGAAAGTGCTTAGCAATAAGTGGAGAGCTGCTCATTTGTTGAAGATGATGGGAGAACCAAGAGGAAGCAGTAAATTGTAGGTTGAAAGTTGACGTGTATTTGACAAAATGATGTACTATGCCAGCCTGATGTTTGACTGTATGTATTTTATTGTCTCAGAGTTGAGGAGTACTATGAAGACAGTTGCAGTAGGATCAAGTCAGTGTCCGAGCAGACCGTTCGCAGACTGGTGACTGAGCTGGAGACGGGAGGAAACGTGAGATTTGAAGACGGCAGGTCCACGGATGTGTGGTAAGTTATCAAAATTGGAGACATTCCAAAGGAATCAGTGTGGGGAAGTCTTGCTTTGAAGGTTATTTTCTTCATGACATGTGTGTACTTGTCAATTTTAGAGTTCCTGAGCAGTTGATCAATGGTCAATTTGCCTAGCCTGCCTGACCTCTGTTTTTTCCCTGCAGGTTCAACTCTTGCCATGACCTAATCCTGTCCAGGTTCTGTGCAGGGGACTACAAGGGGCAGGGCATTCTGGGTATAAAGATCCACCGGATCACCAGAGTGCACAACCGCATCCTCAGGACCAGGTTTGAGGAGAAACTCACTGCAGCCATCTCCGACAAATCAGACAACGCTTCTTATACCAACAAGTGAGCAGTTGCTTTCTTATACATGGCTGCATTTTTTTCAAAAAGCTAGCAACAAAGATATTGTAATAAAAAATTGTAATCATGTGGAATAAGCATTTGATGTGCTTGACAACATCTTGTAAACTTGACAAACACATGACTTGCAAATGGGCTATTCTCCTATTTTATACACATGTAATGATGCAGTTTGTAATTTAGTGGGATCAGCCCATGTAAGGCAACTCATATCATGGCCGCTCTCTTTATTTTGACAGGACGAATGCCTTTAAGAAGTACCTGGAGTACCTGTTCTACGTGTGGGACCCTGAGCTGCCAGGAGCTGGTACGGATCCACACAGGGTCTTAGAGGAAGGATTTATGGATGCACACACCTATCAGGTAGGTGGAAATACATAGTTCAAGTCTAGGTGACCATAAGAATTTCTCAGAAGTTCCAGCCATAAGCTCTCCATTTTTTTATTTGTCAAAAGTTTGCACTAGAAATAAAGTGTCAATTTCCCTTCCCTCATATTATAGCAACTCGGTCGAGATGGTGCCATTCCCCTGTCCAACAGCTTGAGTCTGGCTGAGCAGCACAGGATAGACTTCCACCAGAAGGTGGCCAAGGGCAGAGCTGCTGCTGACTCCTGTCCTTTCAGACATGGTACGTTGATGTTCAACAGAGAGTATAACTCCTGCTTGTCTTTGATTAGTCCACTAGTTGTTTGGTGCATGTGGAATTATGAAAAGTAGTATTCATCCTTCATTCTGTTGTTCTTTTTCGTAGCTTGAAGGTAGGATAGTTAATTGTGTTATGTTCCTGACAGTGTCTACATGTTGTCAAATTTGTCTTCTAATTTATGGCTGCAATGTTTTACAGGCTGCAATTCGTTCATTTACAGATGTGAATGGCATGTTTCTCTGTTGACTAAGTATGTGTTTTTCAGGACAATTGATTGTCTGCAAGGTGTACATGGGGAAAAGTTCTCCTGCCAAGGACAGCAAGTCGTAAGTTGAGATTTTCTTTCAGCCTCATCTTCTTGTTGGGCTATTCCTCAAATATATCTGTGTGTTTCTACTCTTTTTAGTAAAGATCGCATTTCTACTGACGTATCTGGGTTAATATGTAGTTTATTTAACTTTGTCCTTTCGTCATCTTACAGCATATGCAAAGAGAACTACCCAGAAGCAGACTCAGTATTCAGACCCAGAAAGCTGGAAGACCCACAAAGTCCAAAGAAAGGTGCATGCCATTTTCACTTTACAATCTTTGTTACTGATTGTTTGCAGTCAATTAAAGAGGCTAGTCATGAGGTTCTTTGCAGTAGTTAATGTGTGTGTTTCCTCATGTATTCCCAGATGTAGTGAGCAGTATCCTGAACTCAGGAGGCCCCCATACGGAGTGTGACTGCAGCGGTCGGCAGTGTGAGTGGTTCGTGTTTGACCACGAGCTGGTCATGCCGGAGTACGTCATCGACTTTGAGTACATCACAAGGGTGAGCAGCCTTTCATGTCTGCAGAATCAGCTTCATTAGATGTTCCAGTGTTCTGATTTTCTAACTTGAGTCCTCATGTGCATTTATCTGTCCCTTAGCAAAAGCCGAGATCGCCGTTCTCGGTGAGCAGTGAAGGGACTGTGAGCAGCAGTAGTACAGAGAACAAAGCCCAGTCTCAGCCCCAGCAGCCGTTCTTCCCTCAGGACCCGCAGGTGGACGATGATGTACTCCAGATGAAGCCAGAGATCACTCCAAGGCCAAGGTAAAAAATATCTAATGCTGAAGCATACTAGAATTTTTTGCTCTTTTGGTCATTCTAGAAGCTTATTTTTAGATTATTGCCAATTAGCCAAGGGTATTCATTTATTCGATGCATGTGGGGGAAAAAGGCAAATCTTTCCCGTACTGATCCTGCACTGCAATGTTCAAAATCTTCAAGTGAGATGTAATGAAATTTATGTTGTCCTGACGGCAATCATTATTTTCTCCGTAGATTGCTGGAGTTGACAGAGGACCTTATCCTGAAGATGACTAAAGCTTCATCCTTGCCTGCTGTGACGGTGGGTTAATGATTGCTATCATTCATTAGATGTATGGAGTGGGATAATCTCTCAAGCCAACCGACACCACTTGATGGTAGCTTCTTAGATGGCTTTACAGTCTTCTTAGTATTCTAATAGGTCTGTTGGAGTGCCATTTGTAGTCCCTATACATATACTGTATAACATAAGGATTTTTTTCTCAGATGCTGAACCTTCATGCCAAGGGTCTACGTCGGCTCAAGAACTTGTCCTCTATGCCGTCCCTCAAGAGGCTTGTGGTGAGCTTCAACGAACTCAACAAACTTGAGGATGTCGCACACTTGGTACGGAATCAACATCTTACATTTACACTACCGTTTGTTCTGGCAGAAATCGGTATTCAAAATCGAGCTTAGTTCTAGAGGAAACTGTAGCAAAGTAGAACATTTGGGGTCTCTTGATTTGGTATTCAGTGACAAACTTTTTGTTGGCTTTAAATCTAACGGTGCACACACCAATTCTTCCGCGACAGGGGTCCACTGTAGTGCCCGGAAAAAAAGTGATGAAGGGGTTCCGGTGGTTCATGTTTGAGTTTACATTTCTCATAATCTGCTGCAAAATGGGATTAACTACTAACATGGCTGGAAAGTGTAAGAAGTGGCGTGTTTTGGGTGAAAATTGATTTCGGGCCCGAGACTTACTTCCGGGTGTCCTTCCGCCCTGAGCGCGGTGCTTCGGTTTGACCTAGTTTTGCCTTGTATGCGTTCTGGGGGTGCTGTAGCTATGCCTCGCGCAACGCGCTATTGTGATAATCTCAGTGTTAGGATTTTCTTTATACTTTTCTTAATAATACATAAGGGTTTTCTCTTTCCGACCATATAAGTCATATCGGTGGCTAAAATCTGGGTGATGGGTTTAATTCCACGTGAAAATGGCCAATTTTTGGCATCATTTTTCATCGAAAAATTCTTTTTCCCCCTAAAATTTACTAAAATGTGAGAGGGGAAAGAAATTGAAATTCTATTGTTCTCGTAGCTAGAGGGATATCCTTCATTTGAAAACAGAGTGTTTTGGCTTAAGAGGTATTTCCTGAAAGAGACGGTCGCTAGAGTTGAGGGTATGCAGAATCGAATTGAGACCCAAAATAAACTGGGGTGTGCCCCCTTAACGACATGTTTTCTTACCTCTGTCCAGACCAACTTGGAATATCTGGATGCCAGCTTCAACAAGCTGACTTCACTGGAGGGTGTAAAGGTATCACCCTTTTTCATTTGATTCTCGTTTTCATCAGAATGATATTTGAGAATATAGACGTTTCACATGTCAAGGCAAAGGAAAATAAAGATGTTATTGTCACGATTCCCAGGGCCTGTCTCGCCTGAAGACTTTGGACATCAGCTGGAATGAGCTGAGTAACACCAAAGATGACTTGTCCATCCTACGGAAACACACCCCTAACCTAACCTCACTGGACCTCAGGCAGAATCCATGGCAGAAGGTGGGTCCAGTGCGAAGTTAAGCTGTTAACATCTCAGCATGGTACAGTTTCCGCAATTGTGTAGTCAGTGTGGTAATATACCATCATGTACGTCTTGTATAAGGATTGATGACCTTTTAAGACCTGATTGCAAGGATATCTCTTATCTGAAAGTTTATGAATTTTCTCAGACAAAATTGATTTTTTTAATCAGCCATGAAGCTAGCTAAAATCCTTCTCACACCTTCCAGTAGTTTACTGTGTATAGGTGAGTGTCTCTCTTTTTAAAAGTCTTTTAGCCACACAATTGTGCACGCACTACAGCAGAGGGCTAGTCCACTGGTACCAGGTTTTCCATACAACTTGTATGTCAAAATCCATTCTGTTTCCCCAGCCCGATGACCTCAGATTAAGGACCATCGGCAGACTGAAATCCCTGACCAAGCTAAACGGTGTCACTGTGACAGAGGCAGAGGCAACAGCTGCACTAAGGCTGGCAGCAGGCTCCAGAATATCACAGGTGGATCTTCTAGATCTGACACCTTACTCCTTGAAAGTACAATCATGTATCTTTAATCTCTTTAGCCTGATTACTTGATAAGTGGAATATGTACAGTCACATGTACATGTTGGTAGTGTGTTTAGGGCAAATGAATATATGTCAAAGCACACAATGTATAACTGGAGACTTTTCTGTGTCTGTACAATAATACAAATAGCAAGTTTCGACATTTCGTTACTGTCCTACCAGGTGTCGTTACTAGCCCACTCCAGGACAGACCAGTTACGGCCACGCAGCTTGAGTCTGGCTCCGTATGCACAGATCCTGACCCAGGTCAGCAGGAACAAGCCTGACCGCGCTGGGGAACAGGACAGCTTCTGGTACAATAAGGTCAGTTAGAACTGTAAAAAATATTTGCATCTGTGATAGCAATCAATGTTTTTTTTTCTCTGAAAGCCATTGAGTGAAACCATTTCACCATTTTATCTGTTGTAGCATAGTAAAAGATTTTCCTCTTTTACAGTGTTCAATCCTGGGGTTGGCAAATGTTGTGATTGACCTATATAATAAGCTATATAAATTTTGAATACACATGGCATTATGTTGGATGTCCATTACTCTCTAGTCAAGAAGGGAAAGGATTCACTTGCTCTAAAAGGGCTAGGGCCAATGTTGAAAAATACTCTGCTGTTGTAAAATTCAATCTTTGTGGTCAATAAATACTCTAATCATTATCATTCCTGTATATCCAGGTGACCACCTTGAACTTGGACGGGCAGCACATCAGCAAGTTGTCCAACCTGGAGAAGCTGGAGAACCTGAGATGGGCGTCCTTCAACGACAACGACATCACACGCAATCGAGGGGCTGGACAGCTGTCAGCAGCTGGAGGAGCTCAGTCTGGAGGGCAACTGCCTCACTAGGTTGGAAGGTAAGTGAATGTCCTCGGTCATGCGAGACAGGAGGTTGTGGAGACACCTTATGGCGTCACCTTAAAAAGGATGAACTGAACTGAACTGAAGAATTTAGATTCGAGATGCATCCTACCTGTTTGAGTGTTCTACAAGACAATATAAGGCCTGTTGTCAAACCTATCTGCCTTTTCCAGGTCTTTCCAAGCTTGTGAGGTTGAGAAGGCTGTCCCTGGGCAGTAACAGAATAGTGTCCCTGGACGGGGCAGGGCTGGACAAGTTAACCCAGCTCCACTACCTGTCTGTGGAGAACAACAGAGTCAACTCCCTCCACGGCCTGCAGAAGGCCACAGCCCTGATTGAGCTGTATGTGGGCAACAACAACATCTGTAACATCAGGGAGATCTTCCATCTCAAGGTGGGAGTCTTGGATGGGCCGCTGGACTTAGACCCAGTTTCTTATACAATTATCAACTTCGTAGTTTATGATAATGAGAATGATCGGATACTTGCCTGCTTTTCTATGAAGATATCTATTCCTTTGTTGTGTCAATCATTTTTTTCTGTTGCAGGCCCTTCCCAACTTTGTTATCCTTGACCTGTTTGGCAACCCTGTAGCACAGCAGGCAGAGAACTACCGACTCTTCATTGTGTATCATCTCAAGTCACTCAAGGCCCTGGATGGGGTGGCCATTGTAAGTGGAGAGGATCAATCACGTCAACTGTATATATTTCCTGGTGATGTGCTATTCTTTTTGATGTGCAACAATGTATCACCTTTTTGGCAGTCCAATATGAAGTACGTATTTCCCTTTCTCACAGGAGTCTTCCGAAGGGGGCATAGCCAAGGACACATTTGGTGGCAGGTGAGACATGGTTACTGTGTTAATGGTGTAATGTAGTAATATAGGATAGCTGAAATAAAAATGGCACAGCCAATTCAAGTAGAGTTAAAGCAAATATTCTGTACCCATACTGTATAGCTGGTGTAACCATCCTTCAATATAACATGCTAGGCATATCACAGGCATACAGCCAAGGCTGGTTATATATTATGTTTTAGTGGTGTTTATAAGAGAATCTAAATTAAGGATGTGCCAAAGTTATTTCTGTGTTTACTGAGTTTTGTGACCATTTCCCAGACTGACACAGGACTTTGTGGCAGAGCACACTGGCCATGCCAACTTCCACGAGCTGCGTGAGCTGGACCTGCCTCACCAGGCCATCAGACATGTCGACATGGGCAAGGTGGACGTCTTCCAGAACCTCAGAAGGTACAAAGTAAACTTTTTTGGAGGAAAGCTATTGATCACAGAATGAAGCTTAGCGTTCCCTGTTGCTGCAATGTAACCTGTACAAATTTTGTGCCACTTTCTCATGAGTGCTGAGTGCTAAGCAGATAAGGCATTATGTACTAATTTAAAGTCTTATATCAAGCTTTTGATTTTGTTTCAGCGTGAACCTGGAGCACAATAACCTGACTTCCTTCAGTGGACTCATCTACCTGACCAATCTCAGGGTATGCATTGCTTTTGAGATTCTAGACACATTTAACTGTTGAGTGTCAGTTTTGCATATTTGAGTGACTCTTTTCTGATCCTTGTTCAATCCAGTAATATGTTTTTGTAAACCTGCGCAGGTGCTGTGTTTAAATCACAACCACATAGAGTCGGTGGTGGCCCGTCCGAAGGGCTCCCAGCACATGAAGCCCACACGTGTGACGGTGACAGCAGCTGGCATCAGCGGCATCCCCCGCCCGGGAGTGGAGCAGTACGCTCCGGAGAACTTCACTCCACTCATGGAGAACCTGGAGGTCCTACACCTGGGGTGAGTCATTAAAAGCAGAACCCTGTATCAATGTAAATATAACAGCAAATATTGATGTGTTCTTCTGTCTTTCTTTATCCTTATTGTATTGGTCCAAACTTATCAGGGTATCTCTCCTAGAGTATCAGAAAATCACTCGTTGCCAATAATGTCTATTAGTACTTTTGAATGTATTTGCTTGGAGAAAAGATGTAAACAAAAATGAGAACTAGCCTGCGTTACACAGTCTCTTACTGCCAGGGGATGATTGGGCCTTCTATGGACCTGACTAGTGGAAGGGCTTCTAGAAGCATGATATATTCAAACTAGAGGAGAACTAATTCAGTTGACTTTTGCATTGTATTGGATGACAGTACAGTATAACATGTACTTAGTCATGTGACACGTGTAAGTATAGTTAGTCTTCAGGATATGCATGAGTGGGAACCGTTTTGTACACTGTTGTGATTTGCCCATAAACGTATCCATCCACAGGTACAATAACATCTCCAACATGGCAGCACTACAACTCAGCAGACTGACCGGTCTCAAGGCTCTCTTCCTTCAAGGTTGGTTGATGAGAACTTATTGTTGTTATCAAAGTTCCAACAGATTAAGGCTAGCCAGTGCCATGAAATATATAAGATACATTTTGTACATGTGTCTTTACAAGATATGCCTAAAGTATGTTGTTCAAGTAGAACATTACTGTACCAGTCATAACGATGATGACCACTTGGTTTCCCCCAGGTAATGAGATCACCAAGGTGGAGGGTCTGGAGGGGTTGCAGGACCTGCGTGAGTTGGTGCTGGACAGGAACAAGATCAAGGCTCTGGCGGAGGGCTCCTTCATCAACCAGTGGAACCTGCAGGAACTGCACATGGAGGAGAACCGCCTCAGGGACCTGTCTCACCTGTCCTACCTGGAGAACTTACAGAGACTTTACCTGGGCATGAACAGAATACAGGTCGGTACATTAAACTACAGACAGTCTGTTGAGACTCAGAGATTAGTTTGTTAGTATCTTTGCTTTAGGATTCTTGAGTATAGATTATCCACTCTTGACAAAATCACAGTCAGCCTATTGGCCACTTTTCATGGAGATCACAATGTTTAATGATTATAATACATAGTATACTAAACAGATAAGCTACATCCAAGTCTGCTGTGTCATCATTTATGTCAATATACATGTATATTTTGGTGATTTTGAAGTTTAGTTTATTTGAGGTTTATCCACATCAGTTGTGACAGTAACTGTTGCTTTTCTCCCCAGGAAATCCCAGAGCTGGAGAAGCTGGAGGGTCTACCCAACCTGATTGAGCTGTCAGTGGTCAGCAACCCCGTGAGTGCACATTTTTAAGTGTCTGACTGGTCTATGGACAAACACATCCTGTTTCCATCAGAAATTGACATGTGCATGCTTCAGAGAACTTATCCAGCTTTCTGATTTATTTTGTATTATGTATTGTTCTACCTGGATGTTTAACCTTCATTGACATAAAACTGTGTGTTACTGTGTGATATTGACAGGTGTCTCGGCGGCTGATGCACCGCCCCATGTTGGTATACCGCATGCCCCACCTCACCATCATTGATGGGATCCCTGTCAGTCCTGAGGAGAGGACCAAGGCAGAGATCTACTTTATGGAGCAGCAGGTACCCTATAGACATGGACCGGTGAAGTAATGCATGATACTGACCCTCTCCATAATTATGTGCATAGGAAAAATCTGTACAAGGTAGACAGCTACAAAATTGACATGTAACTTTCTGTATATTTGATGAAATGCATAAAATGAAGAATCAGATGTTTTCAGGTAGAGCTAATGTTGTCCAGAAACCAATACAAGAGGTAGTGATAACGGAACAATGATAATTTTTTTTTTCTGTCAAAGGGTCAGCTAAATCTTGTTTTTCTAATGCCCTTAAGAAGCTTATTACACCTGATAACTTGATCCCTCTGTTACTGTTTTTGTCAGACTCTTGCTGTCGACAAAGTCCATGTCTGTCCTTTGCTTTTGATTCCGAATGATTCCTAGGTTTTTCAAGCGCTGATGTCTTCCGTACATTTACATTTTTCCATCACTTCCTGTACCTGCAGCAGTATATCCAACGGGCGGGTAGACACTCCAGGATGAAGTGAGATGATTTCCTCTACTATTTTCTCTCCTCTGTTGTCCTCTCCCCTTGTATTAAGCCCACTAAGTGTCAAGAAGCTAGTGTAGCTATCATGGTACCTGTATTAATTTAGCATATCCATAACCTTTTTCCAGCAAGGACTGGCAACATGCCTGGGCACACTTGTTTGCAAGGGTGCAGTAACATGCATTAAAGTGCTTCTTCATGACCATGCTGCCCATGCTAACAGTGGGGGAGGCTTTCTCACAAATGCCACAGAACAATCATGGACAGGCTTGTTTGTCACCAAACAGCAGCGTGCATGAAACTATTCGTTCATGCTGGCCGTGCTAAGAGCTGGGGAGGCTTCCCCACCAATGCCTGGGAGCATGCATGGACAGGCTTGTTCACATTGACCAGGGACCATGCATGTAGGCACCCTTGCCATCCCACCAGCTGCATGTTGGCCATACAGAGCTGACAGGGTAGCAGCCTGCCCTGTCCTCTCACATATCAGCTCCTTACCTTAGCTTTAGGATGTCAAGACAAGACCTTTCTCTTGCCACTGCAAAGTAAGACAAAAATGATCAGGAAACGTCTTAAATGTGCTCTTTCGGTGTCTTTGTTTGCTGATGGTCATTGTTGAACTTTTGTCTTCTTGTCAATGTCTTTTTTCCATGTAGCCAGCGATGGTGAGCACGGGGGAAGGGAGCCTTCCAGGGATCAGTCCGTACCGGGGGCAGGTGCAGACGGGCCATGGGATGATCAGGGTGACCAACGTGCAGCTGAACTCTGCACCAGACCGACACTGGAGCACCACCATTAGCTATGGTACAGGCGGGCAGGCCGATCATGATGTACAGGATAGCCTGAGAGGTGGGGCGGGTGGTGTGCTCGCTGACGGCGTGGTTATGTGCAGCTGACACCTCACCCCTGGTTTGTGACCTAACCACAGGCGTGTGTGTGGACTCACACAGATGTTGGATGAACCAAAGCTTATTTTGCTAACAGCCTGTACTAACACAACTCCTAACCACCTCTTGGAAAATTCTGTCAGGAAGAGCAACAGGTTTTTGTAACATTTTTGGACAGATACTACATTTAACAGAAATGCTTTATGGTGTGTGTGTGTGCATCTTTTCTCGTCCTTACACCATTCACTTGCCCGTTGTTTCCAGGCCCGCCCCAGAGACGTAACTCTGACCGTGGCAGCGGTGGTGGCAGCCGTGTGGATGGTCACCAGGGTTCCTACCAGAATGCCCACCTGCCTGGATCCCGCTCCCAGTACCCCTCTCACCAGGTCCCTTACATCCCACATAACCCCAGGAAGTAGACTGACAAATATACACATTGTGTTTCATCACTTATTATATACAAGCCCTTACACATTGCCTTTGGAAGGATAACTGGCTGGACCTTCACATTCTTGGCCACATAGCCTGCCACCTCCATCAGATAGAGCTACATTGTATATGAGGCAACATAGCATACAGGGTAGAAAATATAAGATGTAACAGACTATGAAGACTACCTTATGTAGAAACTTGATATTTAAAGAAAAGTAGTTAGTGCACTGTTTAAAATGCTGTGTGAAATTCTATGTGCCCCGTTTAGCTGCTGCTGCTGCTTTGCTTCTCCTGTTCCAGCATTAAGTGACTGTGTGCCTTATTGCAATAATTTTTATACACTGCCAGTTGCCTCTTGTGCAGGATAATGTCCATACTCTTTAGATGTGTGCACTTAGGTTTGTTTTGCTGCAGAAGAGCTTCTGGTGCTTTATAGTAAGCTGTATATACAAAATGTACATGTACTATAAACTTCAGATTCCCATAAACGGCCTTAAGAAGCAGGAAATGTTTCAATTTTGCTTTCAACATCTGCTTGGAGATTCAACATTTGCTTGAAGTAATAGTTCCTAGCACAGCGCTGCACTTCCAAGATGAATATAGTGAAATATTCTTTATCCAAGTATGCACAATGCAATACCACACGGCAGCTATCAATGGATAATGTCTGTTCAGGGAGTCACAAGAAGGTGCAGCGGGGAGAACAAAATTTCTCTTCTGTTTTATATATAGTTTTGCCGGTGTATTTTCTTGTGAAATGCTCAGGATGAGGGCAGATGTAAATCGTTGGATATTTGAGTCTGAGGAGCCATGGATGTGGTGTTTTGTGAAGAATGTCCTTACTTTTTGTAGATGTATCATGGACATCAGTTGCAGGAGCTCAAGCAAATCTGACCATTACAACTTATCGAAATTGTATCATATGTTCATAGCATTTCCAATTGACATAGCAGTACCTATTTGTGATTAAATAGGGCCCATAATGGCCCTCCCACTGATTGGATTCCTCAGGGAGGGGCCTTATCAAGCCCCAGATACTGGGAGTTTCTTACACAGGGTAGTAATAGTACATCAATGGCAATGGTGAAGTCATGACACTATTTTTCTCAAAGGTTTGCTAAAAGTAGTTATTATTTTTATTTGTTGCTCTTTTCATCCAAACTGTTCTTGTGACTGTTAGTCCTCTGAGATTGAATGACTTACATGTGTAAACCTGGGAATGCCTGAAGAAATGTAGTAAGAAGGAAATCTGGGGTTGCACAAGTTTGAGGACGATATGATCAGTTTGACACTCTTAAGCCGATTTTGTTTCCGACATGACAGTGAAAAATGGAGTAACATTATGGAACGAAACAGAACCCAACCAAAACACAAATATTGTTAATAATATATAACCAGTATGAACTCAAATGTATCCAGCTTCCACGCTTGATTTGCATATTTTGTACCATACATTGTCCTACAACTTACAAGGCTCATGTTTTATCTATCTACTGTAGGTTGTTTTTGCTTATGTTGATAAGACTGTACATAATTGTAAGGTTCCCTACGGGACTTGGAAAGCTGTTCGGTGGAAATGAAGCTATGATCTGTTACATATGATCATTTGATATGCTGCACGAACACGTCTGGCAAATTTACTAATATTTTCCATGTTGTAGGCACTAAACTTCTTAAATTTCTGTTCAGAGAAGCCTGTATCGTCTGTCTGATGGCATCTGATGTTACAAGTCTCCATCCTACTGGTAGGGATGTACATGTACATTCAATGAAACAAAAGACCACACCATGGTAACAATTCAATGCCATGCAAAATATTTAATGTCTTCCATAGTATTGAAGTGAAGGCATTTGAAGCATGAGAAGTTGGAAAACTGATGTACAAATTGTAACCTCTTGGTAAAGATGGAAATGGCTATAGGAAGTACAGTATGGATGGAAATTCTGTAGAGGTGCCTCTGACTGTG